ATGTCATATGAATTATTATCGGATAATTATCGTTTAATGAAATGTTGGTGGAGATGTCTAACTTAGACATTTTTAGACAATATTAGACGCCCATACAGACCTGTATAACTTAGATATTATTAGACGAAATTATCGATAATATCGGAGAAAAACTAACTGTCCCAATAGTTGCCCAGACAGACCTGTCTAACTTAGACAATTTTAGACATTATTACACGATTTTATCGATAATATCGGAGAAAAACGAAATGTCCCAATAGTTGTCCAGACAGGCCTGTCTAACTTAGACATTATTAGACGATTTTATCGAAATTATCGATAATATCGGAGAAAAACTAACTGTCCCAATAGTTGCCCAGACAGACCTACCCAACTTAGACAATTTTAGACATTATTAGACGATTTTATCGAAATTATCGTTAATATCGGAGAAAAATGAACTGTCCCAATATCGGAAAACGTTAAAAAGTGCAATGTAGCGCCTTCCTCTGGAATGAGGTGGAATTCAGCCACGTAAAAACCGATTCTCTAGTCTATTACGGTTTTTCGAATCCCCGATTAACACCGGTCGACCTCACCTTTCAAATCGACCACACTATTGAGCATCGATCTCAAATAGGTCCGCCCTAGAACCCACATCGCACACAAAATAGAAAACTTATCATGGTGTTTTCTCCTAATCTTGGTTAGTTGTTTTTTTATCGTGACCAAAACAAACAATTACATTTACTGAGTTTTAATAAATAATAAACAATCTAACAAACATTCCAAAAAAACATTCGCTTTCCAAACCCCCGCTGTCCCCATCCCCCGCTCACGTCACTGTCGCTCTCCAATCCACTTGAGTTATCAACCTTTAAAAACAGTCTTTCATAGCCTTCCCTGAGTGGCCTGCCCGCATCGGGGGAAATTTTGGAGGGATAGGTACGGAGTTGGGCGGTAATACTAGTATGCACATGTAATATATTAAAGCGGGGGAGTCGTCACCTACGCATGCGTCAGGTGGCCATAGCGTGTCATTGTTTACAAACAAGCGTCTACCAATGAGCCTTTGTGTTTTAGTGTGTGTTGTTATCGTCGCTTGGGACTCAATTCCCAGCCAGCTCCTTGGCGCGCCCAATCAAATGCCTCAATTTAGCTGCAGTGAAATGCAACTTTTCCTAACACGATCACGGGTCCGTGGGCCGGATACGAAACTGTGTGATTCGAACGGTGCGTCAATGCAGGTCCACGTGATGCAGGTCGGCGTGAGACAGTGCTTCCGGTGACGATACAATGCATCGACTCTGTCTGCACCAATCACCTAACAAGCTCGAATGAACAATAGAGTCGCCTTGTCCACTTCCTGTTTAGTCTGTCAATAAATGCAGGTTTGTACTATGCACGCACACGTTTTGAGTTGATTCCGTTCGTGACAGAACAGTAGTTTTATTCTACGTAAGCCAACCTCCTCTGCGAAGAATTCAGCATGACTGGTAAGTAACTCAGAATGAGTACGTGCTGGGCGTTATGTCTGAACTTTGAGAGAACAGACGACAACAAGCAAGGCGCGCAATTCGATGCTTTCGTGATATGACTATGGGGACTTTCTCAAAGTCTGGATCCCGACTGTGGGTCAGCAAAAAGAGGGGAAATTAAAAGCTGTTCATAAGCTGCCCTCCACCTGAAAACAAATTGTCTTCCCCTCCTGCTGACCAAATTCATCTCCCCCCTGCCCTCATTAAAAAACAAACACCTTTTTGCTTACTCCTTTAACGCCAACTTGCCTTTCTTGCCCTCCTGCTGACCAAATTCATCTTTCCTCTCCCCTAAAGGCTGTTTTGCTCACCCTGCGATGTTTGTTTATGTAAGAACCCTACCCACTAAAAAAAGTTTCCCTGTCCTTGCATTTTTTAAGACATCTGCCCTGCCCACCGAAGGGTACTGATATTTCCCGCCCCTACAAAAAATAGAAAAAATCCCCTGCCCTCAACAAAAATCCTTTGGAACAGCTTTTCCGATGAAGAGCTCCATTGGCTGCACCTGGGTCAGGGGACAATTTTTTTTTTATCAAAGTCACAGTTACGTGTCTTATATCAATTATGTTGTGTAAGAAACAATATAACGCTTGGTTTACACACTTTCGCATAATATTCCCACTGGTCTTGCAACTATTTTAGCTCTATCATAGTGTGTAAAACTTGTCCAATGCGAAGAACCATGTACCCTGGTCCCTCTATCAGATAGAAAAATGTCCTTACGTCAGCATTACACTTTTCAACTTACCACAAAGATATATTATTTCAAATTTCATTTATTCATCTTTTCCATGGAGCTCTCCTGTTTTAAAGCAACATGTTAGTTTTTTTTTTAAATTTATGGTTATATTATTGGACTTTCATTAATTTTACTGGGAAGATTGATTTGAAGATGCTTTTTAGATTTGTTACTTTTTTGGCTGCAAGCT